TGCCCTATAGGGTTCTAGCGCTTAATGGCTTGACCAGATGGACGGCTTGAATAATCCGCCAAATTCTTCTCCTGTTCAAGATGGTGACTAATCCGTGCGATAAACATGCTAAAAGTGATGAGATTTTGTAGAAAACAAACAATTTGGGAAGATTTACTCTGAAGTGCAGAGTGCATGTCCTATGCTGTTAAGTTACTTACGCATTCTTATATTTTTTTTTAAGTTAGCCCCCAAACATTCTTCTGTTTGCTGAATGCGTATTATTTGACTTTTTTCTTTTTTTTCTCCCTTACAATAGTAAGCATTTTTTTTTTTTAACGTGGCATGTCTTCTAACGTTTGCTCTATGCAACTTCCAGGATTAAAATGTCAGACGTAAATGCATGGTCTTCGCTTTGGTAGATTCCAATTGCTTTCCTCCAAACTTCAGGAGAAGGTGATAGGTTGACCTGTTCGTCCCATTGTGTCCCTTGCATACAATGAAGAGACAGTCTTGCCACATACCTCACCCCGTTCTTCCACTGAGCTAAACTCTTGGGACTCTCTGCTTATCAAGGGCAGCCTCCTAATCATAACCCATGGAATTGGCCCGTGACTTGTCCTTTGTTTCTGATGGCCAGTTAATCTGAAAGGCCTGAGGTTGGAATGAGTTTCCTTTGAGCAAGCTGTTTTTCCTTGTTGTGACAACTTGAAGTGGAAGTCCTGAGCGCACAGCCAGTCGTCAGAGATCGAGGATCCTCTTAAGGTTAGAGCCAGTCAGTTCTTTCAAAAAAAGGCCAGTGTAGACCAGGTAGCTTGTCTTGAGAACTAAATTCTTAAAAACTACACGGAAAGATTCTCAATAAAACGGATAGGTTAAACTTCAGAACAGAGCTATCTTAATAGGGAAATGTTTTTTCTCTCTCTAGGTTAACCAAAATATTTCTAAATTGTCCCTTGTTTTACAAACGATTAGCTGCGCATGGTTAGATGCACACAATGATATTTTTGTGTGATGCAAAATAAAATAAAACCACAGTCTTGAGTGCCATCATCTGAAGGGCAAGTAAAACATTGACTAACAGAAGTATCTACGTATGTGAAGAGGTCTAGGCTAAAAAAAAAATTGAAGGGCGTTTTTGACGTCTGCTTCCGTGTAAGTTTTGGAATAAGGCATAAATCCCAAATTCAAAGTTACTACAGTGCCCATTGAAATCAATCAGGGTTACACTTTGAATAAGCTTAATTGGTAATGTACACCTAGTGCAGGGGGAGGCAACCTTGGCTCTTTTATTACTTGTGGACTTCAACTCCCAGAATTCCTGAGCCAGCCATGCTGAGGGGAAAGGGAGAGGTTTCCAAGCTGAGCCATGCTGGCTCAGGAATTCTGGGAGTTGAAGTCCACGAGTCATAAAAGAGCCAGGGTTGCCTACCCCTGATCTAGTGTATATCGGACTTCCAACATGCATTTGTACCACATTCAAATAGATGCGCTCTGATATTAAGTGGATAAAATAGCTGTCAATTTCTGCTGAGGGACAATATCTGAAGGCTTCCTTTGACAAATGAAATAGCCAGAATAAATGATGAAATTTTTTTGGGATTTTATCAACGGGGGCAGGAGGGAATCACTAAAAACTTCCATCAAAAATCGCACCAGTAGCATTTTTAAACTGCTCCACATCGGTTACACCTGGTTTTAGGGACTTGAGCGTACTCCCTGGAAGTTGCATGAATTAATTTTTCTTTTGTTCATCTCATCCTCATCACCACACTCTCTGATAAATTGTAAATACAACCAGCCTCCGCTCCTTCAGTTCGGATAGGTCCTACACCTTGAACAGAAGCTCTTTCACCCGGGACAGTGTAATGATTGAAGAACTTCTGGTGCCACCAAAGGACACGGTGAGTTTCTTGTGACTCTGGCTGGGGAGGAGGGATTTAAATACACCCTTTTTGCAGTCCTTAGCTTGATTGATCTGGAGCTGCCATTCTTTCCAGTTAGCACATCCTGGGCATGCTTCCTAGGAATTTTAATTGAGCCGATTGGGGGAGGAGAAGATGGAGAAGGTGTTTGTTTTTTTATTTATTTACTAGCTGTCCCCGGCCACGCGTTGCTGTGGCTCATTCTGGTAAAAGCATGTGTTGCTTTTACGTCCAACAGATGGCGCTGTTTTTTAAAAAAAAGCATGTTTTACCTGTCACAGGTGTGACATCTATATATATTATATAGATGTCACACCTGTGACAGGTAAAAACACGAGCGTATTCAAATGCAACGTGTCAAAATTTCAAAGCAATCGGTGAAGAACTTTCGGAGATTTAAGATTTTGAACAAACGAACATTTACATTTTTATTTATATAAGATATACTGTAGATATAGATTTTATTGCAGTAATGTATGTGCTGCTTTAATCTAAGCAATTCAGGCCAAGGCTTGAAGTTTTCAGTATAAATTGTGACCTACCAAACTGAGAACAGCCTACAAGCTAGGAATCTCAGCCAGTCAAGTACTTAGTAATGCCATTTCCGTGACTGTCCACAATTTCTTCATAAGTTCTCAGTTTCTCAGCCTTCCTCATTTTTTTACTTATATATTTACTATGTTTGTATACTGCCACCCTCCATGGTGATGGAGAGTTAAAATAGAAAAAAACAACAACAAGTGATGCCTCAGAGATGAAATCTGAATTCTAGGCCAGGGGTAGGCCACCTCCGCTCTTTTATGACTCGTGGACTTCAACTCTCAGAATTCCTGAGCCAGCCACGCTGAGGGGACAGGGAGAGGTTTCCAAGCTGAGCCATGCCGGCTCAGGAATTCTGGGAGTTGAAGTCCACGAGTCATAAAAGAGCCAAGGTGGCCTACCCCTGTTCTAGGCCAGTGGTTCTCAACCTGTGGGTCGGGACCACATTTGGGGTCGATCGACCATTTCATGGGGGTCGCCAAGCAAGGCTGTCCGCCATTTTTTTTTGTCCGCCATTTTTTCCCCCTTTTCCGGCGGGTGCCTTACCTCCCTTGGGCTGGGCCAGCTGGTGGTCGGCCTGCTCTGTCTCTGCCGCTTGCCAGCCACGCCTCGGCCAGCGCAGGGGGCGGAACCACGCATGTGCGGCGCTCCCGGGCAGGGAAAGTCCTCGACTTACGACCGGTTGGGTAGTCCTCGACTTAACGACCAGTTTAGTCCTCGACTTACGACCGGTTTAGTCTTTGACTTACGACCGGTTGGGGTCGTGGCATTAAAAAGGTTGAGAACCACTGCTCCATGGTGATGGAGAGTTAAAATAGAAAAAAAACAACAAGCGATGCCTCAAAGATGAAATCTGAATTCTAGGCCAGGGTTAGGCCACCTCCGCTCTTTCATGACTCGTGGACTTCAACTCCCAGAATTCCTGAGCCAGCCATGCTGAGGGGACAGGGAGAGGTTTCCAAGCTGAGCCATGTCAGCTCAGGAATTCTGGGAGTTGAAGTCCACGAGTCATAAAAGAGCCAAGGTTGACTACCCCTGTTCTAGGCTAATGCATCAGTCAGCTGTTGGTGCAATTAATCCATTAAAAGCAATCCACGTTGCTGAACCTCAACTCCCAACAACCTCAGAGGGCAGGGCCACTGGCAATCAAAGTTCAGAAAGAGCCCAATGTAGTCCATCCTTAGAATTCAGATTCTTAGATTACTATTTTTCCTATCAGTTTTGACATTATTATTGTTTAAGGGCAAGAAAATAAACTGTTAATGGATGCAAGGTGACTAAACCCGGGGTTAATTCAGCAAAATACCTGTACATTTTATGTAGTATTGCCTTTAAGTTGCAAAGACAAGACTCCTGTTTAGGCCCTGAAATGACATCTCCCAATGAAATGCTCCTTCAATTTGAGACATTGTAGAATTTGAATGCCTTTTCTCTGTAGTTCCGGGAGGAAGACATTTGAATAAATTATAGCTGCAGTTGGTAGCCATCATGGAAGGCTTCAACTAAATAACAGGATGCTGGCCTTTTATGTGCTAAATTAAACACACATTTCTACTGCATTACCCTCTGATAAAATAGGGGCTGTGACATCAGGACATAGGCAGCCTCTGATTGCTGTAGCACAGCTACGCAGAATGTGGTGTGTCCACAGGAGGGGAAGTTCAAAACAGTGAAAATAGTGGCCCCAACCATGCAGTTGAAGCCTCACCCATTGTGACGTGTATTGAGACCCAGTGGTGTAGTTCTGGCTATCATCTCGATTCAGGAATTGTCTAGCACAGTGATGGCAAACCTTTTAGAGACCGAGTGCCCAAACTGCAACCCAAAACCCACTTATTTATCGCCGGGTGCCAGGTGGGCGTGGCCCACTGGGTGGGCGTGGCTGTGGTCATGGCAGATTGGGTGGGTGTGGCCAAGGAGGGCATGATCACCTCGATGTTGCTCATGGGGAGGAACGCCTGTGGGGGACAGGCAGGGTTGAGGGAGATCCAGGGGGTCTCTGGCAGGTGGGGCGGTGGGCAGGAGGCTCATCCTGCAGGGTGAGGCGAGGCGAGGCGAGGGTGAGGGTGCCATTGTCACAGGGCAAGGTGAGACAGGGGCCGGGGCGGCTGCTGCCTGACACCATCGGCCCCTGCACACCGAGGCCAGCGAGTGCATGGGTGCTGGGATGCATCCGGCCATGTGGGACCTCGGCGAGTTAGCAGGCGGCTGGTTGAAGTGGGACAGTTGCCATTTCTGGGGCATGGCTCACGTGCCCACAGAGAGGGCTCTTGAGTGCCACCTCTGGCACGCGTGCCATAGGTTCGCCACCACTGGTCTAGCAGGGCAGTGATCCTGAGTTCCACCAGACTAAGAGCTGAGCTAGCTCTGAGGTTGCAACAAGTTGCAAGAGCACTGGCCACCATTACAGTAAGCTCTGCCCCTTCCTGGCCTTCTCTGGTCTGACATAGGCCTTTCACCTTCATTCTTCCTCCTCCGTTGGCCCAGACAATGTCTAGCCAGGTTGACTTTGTTGTTTTTATTTAACTGATGGAGTTGCCTCTTCTTCCCACTTTTGACATAACATCAAATCTGGACCTACTAGTACTCTGAAAAGTGTCCATAGCCAACCTGAACTTGTAAGTTCTCTGGCTGGTAGACACACCCACACACACAAACACACCTGGAATGCAGAAAAAGAAGCCTTCTGAGAAATAGCACAATATCTGCATTAAAAACTAAGAATCGTCCTCTTCTTGCTTGTCAAGAAAGATGGGCGTCACGCTAGGCAATGCTATGTGTTGAGTATCTGCCCCTTGCCTTTTAAAATTGACAAGTTGTTAATAGGTGAGACATCCATTTCCTTATAGGACAATATTGCAATGGAGCAATTGCTGATGGGCTTCACTCCGTTGGCTCACGGAGGTGGTTTGGTGCCTGAACAAGAGTCTTGAATCAAATCTCTCGTGTTCCTTGCGATGGACATCTTCCAATTGCAATGGACAAGGGCAATGGTTGGGCATTGTGTGGGGAGATGCAGGTCCAATTCAACCCAGAGATCTGGGGGACAATGACTACGTAATCGCCATAGTCTTACAACAAGGATAAGTGGGGAAGGGAGATTTCTTTGGAGGAAAGGTGGCAGACAAAACTAGTAAGAGAGAAGAGCAGAGTCAGCCCACTTACCAGCTATCACCATGTAAGTAAAGCTGGCCAAGGATCCCATCAAATTTAAAACCATCACAATAACCACGGCCCTTTCTTCCGGAGAACCTTTTAAGGACTTGATTGTCATAAAGCACAGAATGTTTCTTACTTCTTGGATGACTTAATGGTTTCTTGTTGGCCATCTCTTTGCAGCCCCTGACGTTTCCTAGAGAAGTGGACTCTGATTCCCTCCGGCACTACAGCTGGGCTGCGGAGACCCTGGACAATGTTAACCTTGTGTCTAGCCCCATTCACTCGGGGTAAGTACTTCGGATGCTATCCTTCCTTCACCCAGGGTGAAACCAGGCAGTGGCTTGGAAGACAGGGAATAACCTATTCACAATGACCTTATTTGACGTACACTTCCTTCATGCCAACTGTGGACTTTGTTATTTATTGCTATTGAGTGTCTGCACCACCGTTACGCTGCTGCCGACATGTAGAGTAGCTTAAAAGTAATCACGAGATATAGAACAGGAAACCTAGCAATAAAGTTGATGCTCCTGATAGCAAAACAATGAAACCAATATCTGTAAAATATTAATTTGACTTGAGTTTGGGCACCACTTCAACAGCCCAGAGCAAAGAGAGAGCCATATCAAGATAAATAATTAGATGGCTTTAAAATTAAACATTTAAAGCCACGCGTAGTCCTGTTCCATAATAGGGAACCTCAGGAGATCCTGATTCACACCAGTGCCACATCGCTATCTTGCGCTGAGATTAACTGTTGGGATTAGAAGGCAAAACATTTCTCCTCCTGCGGTAGTTCACAATGCTGTAGTAAACATGTTTCAACCCATGACTCAGCTGGGTGTAGTTGCAAGTTTCTTTGCCTTGGATGTATGGAAGAATCTTTTCATTTCTGAGAGAGAGGGGGGGGGGGGAGAGAGAGAGAGAGAGAGAGAGAGAGAGGGTAGATAGATAAGAGTAGATAGATAGATACATAGAGTAGATAGGTAGGGTAGATAGACAGACAGACATAGAGTAGATAGGGTAAAGAGAGAGAGAGAGAGAGAGAGAGAGAGAGAGAGAGAGAGATTAGGTAGGTAGATAGATAGGGTAGATAGGGTAGATATAGATAGGATAGAGAGAGATTAGGTAGGTAGATAGGGTAGATAGACAGAGTAGATAGGATAGAGAGAGAGAGAGATTAGGTAGGTAGATAGATAGGGTAGATAGACAGAGTAGATAGATAGAGAGAGAGAGATTAGGTAGGTAGATAGATAGGGTACATAGACAGAGTAGATAGGATAGATAGATAGATAGATAGATACATACATACATACATACATACATACATACATACATACATACATACATTAGATACATAGAGTAGATAGAGTAGATAGTTAGGGTAGATAGACAGACAGAGATAGAGTAGATAGGATAGATAGATACATACATACATAGATACATAGAGTAGATAGGTAGGGTAGATAGACAGACATAGATAGAGTAGATAGGGTAGATAGAGTATAGATAGATAGATAGATAGATAGATAGATAGATAGATAGATAGATAGATAGATAGATAGATAGATAGATAGATAGATACATACATACATAGATACATAGATACATAGATACATAGATACATAGATAGATAGATAGATACATAGATACATAGATAGATACATAGATAGATAGATACATAGATACATAGATACATACATAGATACATAGATACATAGATACATAGATACATAGATACATAGAGTAGATAGGTAGGGTAGATAGACATAGATAGATAGATAGATAGATAGATAGATAGATAGATAGATAGATAGATAGATAGATAGATAGATACATACATAGATAGATACATAGATAGATACATAGATACATAGATACATAGATAGATACATAGATACATAGATACATAGATACATAGATAGATACATAGATACATAGATACATAGATACATAGATACATAGAGTAGATAGGTAGGGTAGATAGACATAGATAGATAGATACCTTTCTTCTTCTTCTCCTGAATAACTCTGAGCTCAAAAGTTCTCAGTCCACTGTTTTGATTTAAGACTACATTATGGAGCACAGATATTTTGTAAGATTTACATCTAATCTTTCCATTTTCACGCCTGCACCAGTTGCATTAATTGTTGCACAGAAATTAGCTTTGATAATTAATTAGGCTAGGTGCATGTCAAGAGAAATGGGTATGCGTCAACAAAAACAGCTTAAGTTCCATGAATTTCAGTCCCATTTAAGGAAGATGAAGGTGATTTGAATCCCCAGTAAGTTGAAAAATACATTATGCCTGCCAAATAAAGGAAATATATTTTTTTCAAATGCCGGTAATAATCCTCTCAAAGTTTCTGAAGACTATTTTTAAATGTTTAGACATGTTTGCTATAATTACAAGGTAGCTTCCATTTCCTCTTCTTCCCTTCAAAAGCATATCTATAATTAGAGCCGTGAGCAAAATAACCTTCCTACCACCAAATCAAAATATGAGTGAAGCTTTTAAAAAAAAATACACATTATAGCTTTATCCTTCATGAACTTTCCTAATCTTTGTTAGCTTCGTTCACTGACTTATCCCAAACGGTCAGCTTTATTTAAATTCATTGCAGGAGTACAGAAGTCTAGGATAAGCTACCTGGTTCCCCCAAATGTCAACATTGTTTGTGACACTATTAATATGATGATGGTCATCTTCTTAGCTGATGCATCCAGCAAGCATGAAGTAGAGACTGGGCAGCTGCATTTGAAAAAGGGCAGCTCTTTTCATATTACTCAGAGTGAGAATATTTTGCTTCCTTCCCCTTAAAAGTTAACTAGGAAACTTTCCTGCAGCACAGAAAGGGCATTTTTACCTCTGCAAGGCTGCTAAATCTCCAGATGAAATAGATTAAATAGTTGTGACTTGTGCAAGATGGCCAAGACATGGACACAAGCAAGTACAATTCCTTAAACATTAAACTTAAATATTAATGGGAAATTAAAACTGGGAAAATGTCCTAGGTTATTGATAGTCTAAAAGATGGAATGTTAAAACAATTAAGACATACATACATCAAGTAAAAGTTATTGATAAATGGAAGAAAGTTATTTTGTATCTGATCGATAGACTAGGAAGTATACTAATAAGAGACGGTACATAATTAAGGGGAAAAGAGAGGAAATATTGGCTGAATAGTTGGAGACTTGTATTAATAATATCTGCATGTGATTGAATCATTGTAACTCGGCCGCCATGTTGTTTTTCAAAGATGTAATTGTAACATTGGAAAATAAATAAGAAGTTTGATGAAAATAATTCCTTCCCAATAACTCCCACTGAAAGGATTAACCAGCCAGTTTGTAGAATGTTGCCCCAATACCAGCTGTTAAAACCCGTATATCAGACGCCAAAGACCAGCTGGGAAAATACTTCTTGGCCACATCAGTTTAGTTTATTGTATTTATATCCCGCCCTTCTCCTGGTGGACTCAGGGCGGCTTACAGCCAGTTAAAAACAGAGCAATTGATACAAATATACAAAAATTAAAATAAATTAAAAGATATATTTAAATAGGCCTTTTCTTATTTTAAAAGTTGATTAAAATCCAATTTAAAATATCCCTAGGCCAGTCCTGCCAGCTGAAACAGCCATGTCTTGAGGGCGCGGCGGAAGGAGGGGAGATCCGGAATCACCCGGAACTCTGAAGAGTTCTGATAAAAAGGGCCTTGGGGGGGG